CCAATTGAACGTCCCGCATGGATCGCCGGCAAGGCCCATCTACTCCGCATTGAAGCACCACAACATCCGGATCGAAGGCTTCTCGCACATTCTCAAGACTGCCAGATGCGGCCGAAGGTTTTGCTGCAGGCGCCCGGCCGGAGCGATAGTGAGATGGTGTAGGGATCGCTGTTCTCAGTCGGCAGTTCTGCTAGTGGGGACGGTGGAAAGAATCCTGGCGCCGCATGGTGCACGCTCAGCGTCTATTGTCGTCAATGCCAAGCATTCAATGAACGAAACGGGAACAGACCAACAAATTTGAGGCGCTCTCGTGAAAAGCATGCTACACCGCATCCGAGAAGTGCAGATCCAAATCGAGGTACATCGTTCGTGATTTGCGCGACTTTCCTTCATCGGTCACAATCCAGCGGCGTAATTCCATCAGAGCGAGCGTGCAGTCTGCGATGTAGCAGAATCCCGCGGCGCGTTCCTTCTGGGCATGATGTCGTCCTCCATCCCAGCAGATGGCTACATCGCATCGAGGCTGGCGAAGCGTCTTGACAGCCGTGAGCGTCGCGCCCGCCACGAGACGTACGTACTCGCTCATCCCGTCGAACGGAGGGCAATCCTATGCAGCTGACTGTCATTCGCGCTCGGTCCCACATGTGCACCAACGGAACCAAGACCTTACATCTTCCAAGCCGAATTCCGCCTTCGTCACGTCGTCCGAGCTGTTGGCATTGGCCTCGTTGAGGATAAAGTCCAAGTATTCCTTCGTGTGATACATGCCCAATTGGGCGGACTGGGCCTTTTGCGGTGGGACGAGTATCAACGCCCGACTCGAATCTGTTGTAGGGCTGAAGAGCCCAAGTGTGCGGGCTAGCGTGTGCACCAGAGCAGAGCGGTTCTTGTTGGCCGGCAGCCGAGAGGAACTCTTTCAACGCGTGAAGGGCTCATCGACGAGAGATACAAGATCGTAACCACCTTCATCAGCTCAAGCGACGCGATGTACGCGACAAATGTCCTTGAAACGTCTGGCGTAGTTGTATCCATGTAGACAACAACCGTCAGTGAGTGTTCGACGCGAATAAGTACGGCCGCCGTGCGACTCGGATGTGTTCGACAGAACGAGCTGAATCAATTAGTGGCAGTGAACTGGACGGCAGCCGCCAAATTCAATTTCGAGTTTGCTTCCTTCTCCGATCCTCCCCAAACTCGCTTCCATCCAGTTTATCCGTCGCCGACGCAATCAGTTTCTGCTGAACACACTTCATCATATCTTCACCAGCGTCTTGAATCTCAGCATCAAATTTCATCGTTATCATTCCCTATGCACTATCGCTCACACTGCGGCCGTCCGCCGGGAGCCCGCACAGCACCCCGCAGCATCCCGGGATCTCCGTCTACGCGCCATAATGGATGAGAATAACCGGATGATCTTTATTGCTAGCAGAAGACTCGGGATTATTTTCGCCGGGAGATCTCCAAGCTCTCATGAAACATGTAGGCAAGGTGCAACGGGTCCAGTGGCAGGATCCTGCCCGCACGACTCAGAACCACAGGAAATGGACAACAGGCTGAAATTTAATCCCAGCGCTCCGCACGACGTTTGATCGAGCTTGGGTTCTCCCTCTATTGTCAATTTGCACTCCTTACAACGTTTGTGCCCGCCTGAAATTCCTGCACTACTTGCCGATGGATAAGACACATCAGTGTCAACGTTCCTGGTGCAAGGGCGCGAACCCAGCGCATGATGTGGATGATCAGCGTCTGAGATGATTTACCTCGGCAATTCTGTGCGCACATGAACCATGCTGACGCTTTATCGTTTTGCTATCGGGTACGCATGAATGATGATGTGCACTTATATACCCTGCGGGAATGAGCTCCCGTCCGGCGCTCACCCTCAATCATGCTTAGCGTTGCGCTCTGTTCGCTCCTCCCGTTCATTCTGTCGGCGAATGCACTCAAGCTCGACCTCGCAAGGGTCGCAGCAGCAAGCAGCAGTGTCAACAACAACTTGATCAACAAGTACAATGTTCGCGTACGTGATTGCAATTCTCGGAATTTAGATCTGTTGCTGACTCGTTTCCTTCAGTACACGACCAATATCACAATCAGCGGTCGAGTTGTGAATGTTGTGCTTGACACGGGAAGCACCGATCTCTGGTATGCATTTGGACTGCATGCCTTTGACCGAGCTTCCCCTGACCCAAATCTCAGGGTGATGCCTCCAGACGGCCTCCCGGCATTCAAAGACACCGGAATCAATACCAAGATCGTGTACGGAAACGGATACGACTATGTTGCGGGGGATATTGGCACCGGAGAATTCCAGCTCGATAGCTACATCATCCCCAATCAAGCCTTCTTGAAAGTCAACGACGTGTGTTTCCATTCCTCAAATCCACTGGCGCATCTGACGGGTCTTTAGGCTTCCGCTGCCGAGCAAGGCGACTTCCAACTGGGCATATACGGCGTCTGGGGACTTGGTTTCAACACTCCGGGGTCCTCCAGAATCAACGACGCGGTCACCCAGGCCTATGGCTCTTCAGCCACGTGGGGCCAGTCTGCGCTCGCCAACATCTTTGCCCAAGATCCGACCAAGGCCGACTACATCGCTATCTCTCTTTCGCGTAATGGAGACTCCGCCGGCTCAGCCGATGCTTCGTTGGCGATCGCAGAGTACGACACCCACTACACTCAGGTCGCCAACGCACCCAGACTTTCTCAATCGCCGCCCGGTTCCGGATCCTGGACTGTGACCCTGGATTCCATCTCTGTGGGAGGAAAGAAACTCAACTGGCCGACACCTTGCAGAATGTTCCGCGCGGCAAGAATATTGTCGCTGTCGACACTGGGTGCGCCTTTGTCCTTCGCTCTCGGTCTCCCAATTTGCTAATGATTTACACAGCACAACCAATGCGATGTTGCCTGCAGCGCAGATCGCGGCTATCTACGGCTCGATCCCCAACGCCGTCTTTGCGGCGAACGCCCAATTACGTATCCCGCAGACCCAGTACAGCTCGACGACCGGAGTCTGGGTCGTGCCTTGCACTGCGAGCATCAGCGTCTCGCTCACATTCGGCGGCCAGACGTTCCCTATTCATCCTCTAGACATGACCGATATCCAGATTGTCGCGTCGCCTGACGGCAAGAGCCAATACACCGTCTGCATCGGTTCCTTCACGGATGTAGGCACGATAGTGTCCGGTTTCAGCGACGGACTCGTGGGCGACAGCTTCTTGCGCAACGCATACACTGTGTAAGCCGCATCCACATGACCTGAGCATTCAGCTGATGACAAGCCACTAGATTCGACTTTGCCACCGGTGGCAATGTTCCCCCCGGGACTACACCTTTCGTTCAGATGCTATCTGTGACAGATGCTACCAAAGCTCAGGCCGACTATCTCTCCGTTCGACGGGCTCTGTTGCGGAGCTACCCGCCCGAACTCAGCCCTGCCCAGTTTGTCCAGATTTTTGGTTGATCCGCACGATTTCATTATACAGTATGTAAATCTTGATGTACCAAAATGATTTTGAAATCATTTGCATACACCGATGGCTGTTGTGTTGAGGTTACTTACTCCATGGCCGTTGTTGATCAGACTGGCACTAGTTCGCGTCTCTGCTTAGTCAGCATAATCATCAGTTCAGAGTCATAGTGGACATGTCCACTACCACGACATCGAAATCTACTGCTCCTCCCTCTAAGCCCAAGAAAGATCGCGAACGCGAGAAGCGCGAGAAAGACCGGCTCTCCCAATCTCAAAGTCCCGCCGAACGTCTAAAGATCGTCGTCCGGCGCCTACCACCTAATCTTCCCGAGGAGGTGTTCTGGCAGAGCGTCCAGACATGGATCACGGACGACACTGTGGCATGGAAGGAATACTATCCTGGCAAGCTTCGTAAACGGTACATATCGCATTGCACCACCCTTCGACCGAGCTGCATGATAACAATGTTGTCGAGTAAAGGCTCAACAAGGAGAACATCCCGTCGCGCGCATATGTGTTGTTCAAGGACGAGGAGCAGATCGCACAATTCAGTCGCGAGTATGACGGCCATCTGTATCGGGACAAAGCTGGTCTGTGTGATCTTTCGAAGGCTAGTGCGCACAAGCTTACGGATGTGGACAGGCAACGAATCTTATGCCGTCGTGGAGTTTGCCCCCTACCAGAAGGTTCCTCTGGAAAAGAAGAAAGCAGATCCGCGTATTGGGACTATCGAGAAGGGTGCGCGGCTTCCTTGATCCACTCTAGTAGTCTTGTTCAGACGATTATCTGCAGACGAAGACTATGTCTCGTTTATCGAATCGTTGAACGCATCTGCGGCCACTGAGCCGCAGTCTCTCGAGGCTCTCAGTGCGTCAAGTATTATCGTCCTTTGGCAACCGCGACTGATTCTATGTATAGTTGCAGCCAACCAGCCTGTTCCCCAACCCAAGACGACGCCATTGCTGGAAGCTCTCAAGGCTGAGAAGGCTGCACAGAAGGAGAAAGAGACGGCTATTCGTCAAGCGGCTCAGCAGAAACGTGATGAAGCGAAAAAGAAGAGTGCCGCCGCCACCCCTACTGCACTCCTTCAGGCGAATGGACCTCCCATGAGCAAGAAAGCAGCCAAGAGGGCAGCTGCAGCTGCTGCCTCTGCACCGGCTGTAGCGAAAGGTGCCGGCCCCACCAAGCCTCAAGCGCCCGATTCGCCGACGAAACCGATTCCCAAGGGCCCCAAATCCCAGCGTCCACCTCGTGTTCCAGGTCCGCCGCCCGTCATCACGGATGTATCGGCTGCGTCTGCTGCCAATGAAGGTAACAATGCACCCGACGGTCCAGTTTCGCCAGTCCAACGACGCAGTCGGCCAGTTATTGGCCTGGCCTCTCGACAATTTGAAGCAGCCTTGAACGGCGCTGGTGTTGCCCCTACTGGCGATCGTAAGTCACGTCGTGAACGAGCTGCTGCTGCAGCTGCTGCAGACGGGGCCGATTCGACTGCTCCCGACGCGAAGGCCGACTCTCCCGTTGCTCGTAAAACACGCCGCAAGGAGAGCATCGGTGCGACTCAAGGTGGTGGAGTCACTCGACCTTCTCCTGTCCAGCCTATCAACCAGATCAATGTCGGAGATGGGCCCGTGGCTGGCATGATTCAGGTTCCGGCCGGTTTGCGCGGTGGCCGACCGGGTGCAAGCAATCGTGGTCGTGGCGGACCTCGCGGCCGAGGGCTCGTCGTCACCGGCGGTGGTGGCGGTCGAGGCGGTGGCTAGACCGAGATCGAATCATCACTTCGGCCCATCCACTTGCTGCTGGTAATATGCTCCGTAATGCTGCATCCAGATCAAGCTTTCTGCTTTGCAGGGCACCTAGTTGCTCACCCTGGTCCAATATGATCAGATCCGAGATTCGACACATCTCCGTGTCGATCCTGACGGTCGTCCAAGAACGAACCAAGATGTTCTTTCCGAGATTCCTATCCTTTGGACTTTCATTAGCTTCTACACTGTAAAATTTCTACGCTATTCTGTATCTGAATTCCGCCTGTTTAAACGTAAAACAAGAACTCCTGTTTCAAGTGGCTGAACATATTTGAGATCTGGTTGTGGAGTCCTCTTGAGATGACATTTCTGCCCAAAGACGTTTAGATTGTACATCTCAAAGATAAGTCCGCATCCCGCAGATATTGCCGGTCTCGTGCTGAAAGCGGATCTCTGTACTTCAAAGATGGTCAATCGAGGCTCTGGGGGAAGCATTTAGATAGATCATATCTACAGATGCTGATATTTGAAGCGTCAGGCTCGAACCAGAAGCTGTCGATAAAGCCAAGGGTCAGTTGCGGCCCCATGGTATTGGGCTCAGAGTCCCATTTACATTTACACATACATACGATCCAAGGAAAATCTCATGGAAATTTGCCTAGTGTTCTCATCGCGGTGGTTTGAAGACAGCAGGTTCTGGTTTCAGCACTCGTAGCAACTCTTCGTGTCGGGTTTTCGCTGCAGTCCGGGCGCTTCCAAGCATAGAATGAGTGATGAGATCGGACTGAACCTACAGAGCAGCATCATCAGAAAAGCTCTTGGAACGACAGTGACGTGAGATTGCTGACATTGAAAACATCTAGGGCCTGCCGTAGTGCCTCATCGCAATCTGTGAGTTGCGATCGGGTTTCCAGATGCTTCAATATCCGGCCGAACAAGGATACGGAGGACAGCGAAAGCAAGATACCGTGCAGAGTCGTCAGCGTTCTCAAAAACTATCAGCTCGCAGCCGGGCATGAAGGCAACTTAGCACAACGCACTGAATAAATTGGTCTACTGCCGTCTCCATCAAAGGATTCATCACCACACTGTGCTTCTGAGCATCTCCGCATATATTGACCAGTGTGTTCACAATTTGGTGCACCCGCTCCAGCAGTTGTAGGCATTGATCACGATTTGATTGCACCGACTTCAGAGCGTCAACATTCAAATTTCCGAGGATGTCGATCGTCACGCACATTAACGATATCGAACAATTGCCCCGCACTTGCAGCAGCGATAGTTATCATCTCGTAGTTCATCGCACTCCCGATACTGTGCAGCAAATTGGAGACGTCGAGACCACGCTGAACAAACTCTTCGGTGCGACGGCCTCAAACGAAGTTCCAGCTCCGGCGTAGGAGAGCTGGAGTCGTCATTGTCGTCCGCTCTGATGTAGCTGGAGGCTGATGACCATCGGATGGAATAGCCTGTGAAGCCGGCTGCGAGGATTCAGGCTTTGATGCAACTTTGGCCGCCTCCAGAGGGTTGAAGCGTGCTCGCCCGCGGCTGAATTTGCGTATAGCTGGCATTGGGGAGAGGACAGTGCCGAACTACAGATGACTATGATCCTGACGGCAATGTATTCATGAGGTGTGACGATGAGACAAGTACGAAAGAAGAGAACGCTAGCTATGTTTATAGCTACGGGCACCCTGTAAAAAACCGGTCAGCATCAAGAAAAAAAATGCACGACGTTGACAACGGGAAGATCAGAATTGCAGAAGTAAAAATCAGCACCTGGCCGTGGCCATTAGACTGTTGAGCTTGAATGTGATACTTTTATTCATCACGACAACAAAGGGGGAAGACGAGATGAAGTAGGGAAGAGACTTACAATAGAGGCGTGCCCAAGGAGATGAGATGGAGGTCGGAAAGAAAACGCAATTGCAACTCCGCGAGCGCGCATCAATTTATCTCTTTGGATCCAGTCACATGTGACTGGTGACTCGGACTCTGACGCTCCAGGCAATTTTTCTTGCGCCTCTCGATCTCACTCCACGTTTGCACAACGCACTAAAATCCCTCTCTCTCGTATAACAGCTACTCGGACGCTCAAGATGGACGTCGACATGCGTATTAAGGAAGATCCCGACCTCGATCGCGACCAAGAGAAACTGGGAGGTAGCAGAGACAGAGACCGCAGAGATAGGGACAGAGATCGTGACTTCGACCGCGAAAGGGACCGGGACCGCGAGAGGGATCGCGATAGGCGCGATAGAGACCGCGACCGGAGGGATTCTGGTCAGCGCCTTGCTTATATTATCGAAACAGTCATGCACATATTGACACGACAACAGGACGCTCGAGCACCAGGCGACCTGGTGACCACTGGGAGCCTGACAGTAGAGGCGGAGAGGTACCTCCTCTCCTCCTTCTTTCAACTTGTGTAGAGAAAAGCTCATTCAATGCCAGCAAAGGCGCAAGCGTTCGCGTACGCGCTCTCGGTCGCGTTCCCCTCGCAGACGGTCTGCCTCGCCACGTCGCCGGTCGCGCCGGTCTCGGTCACGTTCCTCTCGGTCGCGTTCGCGGTCCAGGGGTGGCGGCAAATCCGACACCTTCATGCGCTCACTTGGTGGGCCCATGAACGCCGACCATGAAGAGGCCGTGGAATTCGCGAAAATCAGCAAGCGAGAGAACCGCGTCTACGTGGGAAACCTCAGTTACGAGGTTCGGTACCGTGACTTGATGGAATTCATGAGGGGAGGTGGGTGGGGAGTCAGATTTGTTGTCTTTTCTTGGATGTGTGGACTGCGTGGAATTCTGGACCATGGAAGGCGGTGGAAAGGATTGGGGGTTGGTCTAGCATCGGCGCCGAAGATTGTGGGATGGGGCATAGACGTGCCGTAGTCTGTCTCGAGGATGGAGGCTGCACGCGATCGGAGATGGAGAAGTTTATGTTTCTCGGGTGGATGGCTTTTCGTCTTTTCTTGGAAATTGGCCGAGTTGTTGAGAGGATATTGATGGGTCTTTTTGGGATTGGCAGCTGGAGAGGTTCTCTTCGCCGAGGTTCTCATAACGCCTACCGGTGTATCGAAGGGATGTGGGTGAGTACCCTGATCTGTCATCTGAGCACGCACTCATTCTTTCTCAGAATCGTAGAGTTTGCTTCTCCGGAAGACGCTCAGCGTGCGGTACGGGAGCTCTCCGAAGTTTCGCTGCTGGGCCGGCCAGTCTTCATCCGTGAGGTGCCTATATCGACATGCCTGCTTGCTCCGTTAGCTGACCGCGACGATGCCAGGATCGTGAATCCGAGTCTCGTTTCGGGGCGACTCCGGTTCCAGGAAAGATGGGCATGGCCATGGCGGGACAAGGTCTCAATGCGGGCCCTCCTCCTCGCCCAGCTTCGCATAACTATCTTGCCGGGACTCAAACCTCTAACCCTGGTAACCAACTGTACGTTGGCAATGTGAGTAGCATGTCACCTTGAGAATAACAACGCTGACGGGTCATCAGCTGCCGTATCAAGCTGGATGGCAGGATTTGAAAGACCTTTTCCGTGTTGCTGGTAACATCATTCGTGCTGATATCAACCTTGGCGCGGACGGCCGTCCCAAAGGATCCGGAACTGTGGTTTTCGAGACTGCGAAAGATGCTGCAGCTGCGATTGGCAAGTGTTCTCGACAGACTCCTTATGCGTTCAATAACATCCTATAGCAATGTACCATGGCACCGATTGGTATGGACGAACGCTCGAAGTCCGAGAGGTATGTTATCATATTCTCAATCTGGGCTGCGTTAACACGGTTCAGGATCGTTATGCCGGTCTGTCGGGATCTGGTGGCTTCCGCGGTGGCTTCCGCGGAGCACCCCGCGGTCTCGGGCGCGGCGGATTCCGTGGTGGACTGCGTGGCAGGGGAGGGTTTGCCGGAGGTCTCGGTGGTGCACCCGGTCGCGACTTTTCCAATCAAGATATCTACGCAGACTACTCGGGCCCTGACCAGGCAGGTGGCGCGACAGGCGGGGGGTATAATGGAGGGAACAGTGCCGGAGGTTATGCGAGCGGCGGGTTTGGTGGTCCGGGTGGTCCTGGCTACACTGAGCCTGAGCCAAGCCAGCAGATCATGGTCCGCAACGTATGTGATCTACTGTGCCCTTGTTCTTCGACTGATCAGCCGTAGCTCCCTTGGTCAACTGCAAATGAGGATCTGGTTGAACTCTTTGAGACCACGGGCCAAGTTGAACTGGCTGAGATTCTGTTTGATGGAAGTCGCTCGAAAGGCTGTGGTGTCGTGCAGTTTGCGCAAGTCGCAGAGGCTGAAACGGCAATTGGTGCGTGTTTTCAGCGGTCGAAATCTTCGAGGAGCGTTGATCGTCCTGTGCAGCCAAGTTCCAGCACTATATGTATGGTGGTCGACCGCTTGACGTGCGTTTCAACGACCGCTGGCACACTTTCACCCCGACTGCTGCAAAGGGCGGTCAAATTGGTCAAGAGATGGCTTGAGGATGCTGTTGCTTCGTGTATATATATATTTAACGTATAAAGTGTCTTTGGAGGACACGACCTAACCAAAATAACATGATTGTTACTCGCAGTATCACAAATCTCTCTCAAGTCAAGTTGTGAATGTTATCTTTGATCTTTTTGGGTTTTGTTTTTTTACAGTTGTGAGGTATGCTATAGTAAGGTATGCATTATAAATCCACGCATTACGAGTCCACGCATTAGGGGGGGGGAAAGCGCAAAGCAAAGCAAAACATGCCAGCATCCAGTGCGGCGGACAGAAAGACGAATAACGCAGACGAGGGAGAACACAGAAAACAGAATTACAAATCCACAGCAAGAGAAACGAAATGAGGAACTGCTGCCAACGCATTGCGCGGAGCGGAGACGAGCGCGGAAGCCGCCGGTTTCGGTTTCCGAGCGCCGCACCACGCTTCCAGATCGCTGCTGTCCGATGACCAGCTGTCGGTCGAAACCACACTGCTCCTTGACGAATCGCTGTCGGACACCGGCGACGTTCTGTCCATGACCGAGAACCGCATTGCCGCGATCTTCTCGAGTGTCTGCGAGTGCCAGAGCGAGGGGAACGGCGACGAGGCGAGCTTGGGCGCATACGTCAGAGGCGGCGCCGGAACCGTATGCGAGACCGTATCAGGGACAACGAAGACCGGGATTGGGACCGGAACGATGCGCTTGGAGCGAGAGCGGGAGACGAGTCGGTGCAAGACAGACGAGACGCCGCGTCGGGACGTGCGGAACGCCGGAGACACATACTCGAACGGGCTGCCCTCGCGAGTCGCCGAGACAGGGAACGGACTCTTGCGCGCGGTCGATGGGACGTAGGCCGGGACCGGGGACCACGGTGCCGGGACCTGGTGTCGAGCCATCTTCTTCCAGTTGACGTTCGAGAAGTACCGGTGCTCCTTGAGCTGGGCGATCGTGAGGCGCGTGTCGCGGTTGTGGTCGAGCAGGCCCCGGATGATGCCCGCCAGATCCGTGTCGACAGTTGCAAGCAGCTCCGGAGTCTCAGCCGAGGGCATCTGAAGTTGACACATATGGTTAGCAAGAGACATCGGGCAGCAGAGGAGGAGGGACTTGCTTGACCCGTCGCCAGCTGATGCACGACAACACCCAGCGCGTACAGATCGGCGTCGAAGCTGTAAGGGGTACCCTGCACCTGGGCCGGCGACATGTACCCTGCCGTCCCACAGCGCTCCCTCGTCACACCCAGAACCTCATCCCAGCTCTGTGTGAAGAACGACCCCGAGTCAGCGTCGGCCGAGACGTCGAACACGATTTCCGCAGGCTCGTCGGTGCCGTTCATGAGCGATCCGGGGAGGTGGATCGAGAGATCAAAGTCGCCGAGCACAATGTTGCCGTCCTGGGTGAAGAAGATGTTCGCCGGCCGGACATCGCGGTGGACGATGTTGAGCTGGTGGAGCGAGTCGAGCGCGGTCACCTGACGTTCCGTCGTCAGCCTTTGTGGACATCAAACAGAGCGGGAGCTCGCACCAGTTGGGCAAACATGAAGTGCACGCGAGGAGCCGAGAGACCGCCCCAGTGCTTGTGTCCGTTGGCCAAGTAGGAAGTGAGATCACGACCGGCACACCACTCCTATTTCTATGTCTCAGCTCGATCCCGACGAAGACGACGGATGTGAGACACTGACAGACAAAAAGCAGTAGCGGGACTCGTCTTCCCAACTGGCGTGGAGCGGCAGAAGGGAGCGGGAGACGTCGAAACCAGCCGCGGCGATGCGTTTGAACGTGGCCTGCTCGTTGATGGCTGGGTGAAGACAGTCGGACTGGGGACCACGGAAAGCCGTCTTGAGAGCAAAGCGGTCGCCGGTGGTCTTGTGCTTGACCAGGTGCACATTAGATTTCGAGGTCTGACCGATGCGGTTGAGAACATCAAAGTCAGCGAGCGTGATCTGGACGGTGGAGGAGGAAGGATCAGTGATCAGAGCTCGAAGAGGATCAGGGAAGGCAATGTACCGCCGAGTCGTTGATCTTGTTGGTAGATTTGAACATGTCGAAGCTTTCAGTTGGGTTGGATGTGCAAGTAGATGATGGAGGTCTTGATGAAAGTGTCGATAGCGAGGCAGAGTGGAGAGGTGAGGTTTATATACCACCGCGGAAGCAGCGTGTCTGAGATGGTAGAATCCACGGAAGGCCAAGACTGCCGTGGAATGCAGACTCGTCGCTGAGACATGAGCGGACAATGGAGACAAGCGCTCTCTGCCAAGCGTCAAGAAGTTGTCGTAGAGTCTCCCTCCTGCTGCCACCGGTCACAGATCGCATAATTCGCCACTTGTCTTATTCAAGGACACCAGAGTCAAGGACAAGGGCCTTGACACACGACTATCAATGCTGCTCCGGAGATGTCCGAGAAAATGATCGAGTCACCAGTCGATGATAAGATTAAGATAGGTAGTCTCAGTCCGCATCCGATATGCTCCCGCTCAATATTCCGTTCGTATTCAGTATGGTAAGCTCAAACATTTGCAATTCCCCAAGACACACCTTTACGGTACGAGCCATAGGGATTTCGTGTTACCCGCCCTCGACGCTCTTTACACCCTCAGCAAATCGCCCAGATCTCCCAATGCGGCGATACGATGACGGCTCCCGTTTGTTATTAGGGACATACGAAATCGCAAAAGTCTTCAAAATGCCACTGTCGGGCGAATTCCGAATTCCGGTCTTTCGGTGCGCTGGTGGACGAGCTGCATTTGATTTTGTAGTCACTTCTGATGGAGGAACTGCGCAGGATCGAGGAGAAGGATGGCATAGACACAAGCGTCGTATGGGGGTGCACTGGTCTAGCCGGGTACTGCAGTCCACAGAGTGTCGTGCAGCTGACTGACGAGGAGAGGGTAGTGCTCATTGGGATCGCCCAGCGAGCAGTTGGCAAAGTAATCGCATACGGAAAGTTCATTAAAAGTATTTCAACTAGGAGAATTAGATACCAGCAATTATACAGAGCAAAGAGGATTCTGGATGGAGAACTATTGTAAAACTGGCAGAGAATTCCCAAGATCTAACCGAAAATCTGGACAAATTGAGCGGGGCTGAGCTCGGGCGGGTAGCTGCTCAAAAGAGCTCGTCGAACAGAGAGATAGTCGGCCTGAGCTTTGGTGGCATCTGTCACAGACAGCATCTGAACGAAAGGTGTAGTCCCGGGGGGAACATTGCCACCGGTGGCAAAGTCGAATCTAGTGGCTTGTCATCAGCTGAATGCTCAGGTCATGTGGATGCGGCTTACACAGTGTATGCGTTGCGCAAGAAGCTGTCGCCCACGAGTCCGTCGCTGAAACCGGACACTATCGTGCCTACATCCGTGAAGGAACCGATGCAGACGGTGTATTGGCTCTTGCCGTCAGGCGACGCGACAATCTGGATATCGGTCATGTCTAGAGGATGAATAGGGAACGTCTGGCCGCCGAATGTGAGCGAGACGCTAATGCTCGCAGTGCAAGGCACGACCCAGACTCCGGTCGTCGAGCTGTACTGGGTCTGCGGGATGCGCAATTGAGTGTTCGCCGCAAAGACGGCGTTGGGGATCGAGCCGTAGATAGCCGCGATCTGCGCTGCAGGCAACATCGCATTGGTCGTGCTGTGTGAGACTGTAAGATTCTGTTGGCGTGTGACTACAGAGTGGGAGACGCACCCAGTGTCGACAGCGACAATATTCTTGCCGCGCGGAACATTTTGCAAGGTGGTCGGCCAGTTGAGTTTCTTTCCCCCGACTGAGATGGAATCCAGCGTGACAGTCCAGGAACCGGAACCGGGCGGCGACTGAGAGAGTCTGGGTGCGTTGGCGACCTGATTATAGTGGGTGTCGTACTCTGCGATCGCCAACGAAGCATCGGCCGAGCCGGTGGAGTCTCCATTGCGCGAAAGAGAGAAGGCAATGTAATCGGCCTTGGTCGGATCTTGGGCAAAGATGTTGGCGAGCGCAGACTGGCCCCACGTGGCTGAAGAGCCATAGGCCTGGGTGACCGCGTCATTGATTCTGGAGGACCCCGGAGTGTTGAAACCAAGTCCCCAGACGCCGTATATGCCCAGTTGGAAGTCGCCTTGCTCGGCAGTGGAAGCCTAAATACCCGTCAGATGCGTTAGTGAATTCGAAGGATGGGGACACACGTCGTTGACGTTCAAGAAGGCCTGGTTGGGGACGATGTAGTTATCGAGCTGAAATTCTCCAGTGCCAATATCCCCCGCGACATAATCGTATCCGTTTCCGTACACGATCTTGGTACTGATTCCGGTGTCCTGGAATGCCGAGAGGCCGTCTGGAGGCATCACCCTGAGATTTGGGTCAGGGGAAGCTCGGTCAAAGGCATGCAGTCCAAATGCATACCAGAGATCGGTGCTTCCCGTGTCAAGCACAACATTCACAACGCGTCCTCCGATTGTAATGTTGGTCGTGTACTGTGAGCACGGTCAGAAAAGAAATTGTGGGGATCCACTGGTACGGACGCGAATGTTGTCCTTGTTAATCAGGTTGTTGTTGATTCCGCTCGTGGCTGCTCGCTTGAGATCGAGCTTGAGAGCAATCACAGGCAGCGCAAGGACCAGAAGCGGACAAAGTGCAGAACTGCTGCGCATGACGGTGGAGGACTAGGGACGGGAGACAGTCGGAGAGGATCATGTTAGGCAGCATTTTATACGGTATTTGCGTACAGCGACTGCTCACGCGCCGACACCAGATCTTGAAATCGTCTGAAACACCGATTGTGCGCATCAGGGACCAGGATCTTGCTTCCTAGTACGCGCTGCTTCCAGTGATCGCAAGAGACGTTCTGTCATCCGCTGAGCGCTGAAATGCCACAGGCTACGTGGTTTCTTCAGTTAAGCGCGGCCCGGAACAGACGTGTCAAAAATTGGAATTCACCGAGAAAATCTGGTCGCTCAATTACAATCCTCCGGCAGAACGAAGAGCGGAGCCACTCCCTCGCCTCTTTGCATAGCGAGCACGATGCGCCATTCTGATATGAGCCTGGGTGGTGCGAAGACGATTGTTGGCGCCTGAAAACCATTCGATTACTCAGAACAGTCATGCCCCCAAACTCCGAGCTCAAGATGAACGGATATACCGGATAGAAGCTCGAGAAGCCTTCGGCAAATCGATTCGTAGATTGTTGACCAAGAATTTGAAACTGTCAACGATCGGCGGCGGCTCCGTTAGCGGAATTGTGCTAGCATTGAGCAGGTTTTGGCTCTTGTATCCGTTAGCGACTCTGGTTTGAAACGAGTTCGGGGAGTAAAGCCTTTCCATAGGGCTGAATTTTAATTGAAGGGTTTGGAGCCCGGTGACTACACCGTCCGTTCAGTGTAAATATTAATGGAAGAGGGTCTGACCAAAGTCCGATGTAGTCCGTCAGTCATATCGCCAATATTAGCGATCCCGTGACTCATTCACGCCACCGTGTAGAACGAAACAATTGGTTGCGATGTTACGGAGAACGCCCAGTTAGAGTTCGCGGTTATCTATGTAGTGGGATGAATAATATACAACAATAATGCAAATATTAAGAGCAGAACAGCAAGATAGCAATATCAGTATGAGCCGGTTTGATCGCTCCTCCAAAGCTCAAGCGAGCCCTTCCAACAGTTTTCCCAGCCACGGGTTCGCCTCTATCCTGGATCTGTACTGCTCCACACAGCGTTTGAGACTAGCGAGGTCGGCGAAATCATCGTCCTCCATAGAGACATCCTCGTCCGCCGCGTCAGGCATCTCCTGGTCTTGTTCAGCAGCCCACGCAGCAAACAACTCCTCCACGATCCGCATGCCTTCCTCAGTCATCGCGGGATCGTCGTCGACAGCCTCTTGCCTTTCGACGCCGAAATCTTCCAGCTCGTCGGCCTTCCTCTTCGCGAGCTTCACTACGCGTTCGGGGAAGCCGGCGATCTGGGCGACGTGGATTCCGAAGCTTTGGTCCGAGATCCCAGCTTCGACTTTGTACAGAAGCGTGATCTGCTGCTGTTGCTGCTCGTCGGCGTCGTCAACATGTGCAACAACATGCAGATTCTTGACGTGCGACAGCTGCTGGTCAAGCGCAGTGAGCTCGTGGAAGTGGGTGGCGAACAGACAGAATGCGTGGATTTCGGATGCAATGTGTCTAGCCACGGTCAACTTTACTTCGCATAAACACGAAGACCACGCACTCTGAAATCGCCCAAGCCAGTCCGAATCCATCATAAGTCGATGTCCCTCTGCCTAGCTCGTCAATGATGATCAACGAGTCCTTCGTCGCAGTGCGTAGAATCGTAGCCGTTTCCAGCATCTCTGCCATGAACGTCGACACGCCCTTCAGTTGACTGTCGCCCGCTCCGACACGACACAGTACGGAATCGAAGATGGGTAAGCGCGCATCTGAGCACGGCACAAAACATCCTGTCTGCGCCATCAAAGCGATAACGCCTACTTGGCGGATGTACGTGGATTTTCCGCCCATGTTGGGCCCAGCTGGGATACAGTCAGATAAAATTCAGGTCCTGAATGGTAAGTCGCACTGATGATCTGGAACTCGCTCTGGTCTTTGACCATCTCGACGTCGTTTGGAATGAATGTGATATCATCTTGAACCTCCAGGCAGGGATGCCGTGCATCTCTGAGCACCAGGTCGCCCGTCCCTCGCTCCGTGACCTTGGGTCTAATAAAAGGTTCTGGCGCACTGATGGACACATGCGCGAAACTAGATCCCAGAGTAAGTAACGGATCCAATCGGGAGCGTAATCCTGCACACCTTAAGATGACGTCCAGATGGGCAATGATATGATCCAATGACTCGAGCACCGGAGTGTAAGTTGCTGCGATGCTAACGACCTCTTTGACAAGATCAGCCTGTGCACGAGCGTACTTATCGCTCGCATCCTTGAAGTCCTCGGCCAATCCGCGGAGCGTTTCGGTTCTGAAGTGCACGCCCGACTTGGTGATACCCAGCTCCACATACTTTTTCGCCATGTTCTTCCCGTCCTATCAGTCGTTAGTGGATAGTAGACACAAACAGAGGCTAGACGCCGCACTTTTTGTGTCACCCGGAAACAATATCCATACTGCGTGGTGTTCTCCAGATGCAGCTTCTTCGTCTTGTCCAATCCAAGGTCATCAGCCACGGACTCGTGCTCCTCGTCCATTCCCGCTTGTGCAGCCTGGATCTTTTCACTCAGGGCCGCCAACTTGGCGTCGTGTTCGGGCTTGATTACGAACTGATGGCGCTCCAAAGCGTCCAGGTCAATCGTCTGCTGTACCATTTCGGCGTACTTTTCCAGCGTCTCGTTGAACTTGCGTAGTTGCACGAGATATGTCTCTTCAAGCAAGGCTTGGTAGCCGTCCTCTTCGGGCTGCATGGCCTCGAGAGTAGATATGAGCCCAGGAAGTTGCTCGACGGCCTGGTAGACGCGAACAACGTCCTCGAGCGTCGCAGCCTGGCGCTGGAATCGCTTGCTCAGTCGGTGCATGTCGGGTAGTAGCTTCAGGTATTCGTCCTGCAGCATCCGCTGCGTATTCAAATCATTCACGAACATCTCCACTAGATTCTGCCGCTTCTCTGTATCAAATCAGAGAGTGTGCGTAGAAGGAAACAGTAATGTCACGTACGAATCTCATGGAGATTGACCAGCGGTTGCTTGAGCCAGTTGCCTAACAACCTCGTGCCCTGCGCCGTTTTGCATTTGTTCAACAGTCCTAACAAAGTCGTGTTCTTCGTCGTTGAGCCGCCAGCCTCAACGAGATTCAGAGCCCGGAGAGCACTCGCATCTAGCTTCATGAACTGCTGCAAGTCATGCGTCCGCAGAGAGTATGCGCCCAGATTCGAAGCGTCGCCGAGCAGTTGGAGGTACTTGATCAGCGCAGCCAGCGCAAACGGCGCGTTGGTGAAAGCCAGCTGAGGGATGACGAGGGTAGCATCCGCAGAAGACCCCGATCCGCCGAACGCTTCGAGTGTCTTCTCTGATAAAAGCCGTGGCAGATCGTCTGCGATGTTCTTCGACGAGAATTCGCTCGGTTTACGTTCTGTGACGACGACCCCACATCGTTCTAGCACACCTTTGAGTTTGTTCAAGTCGACGTCACGGTCCGTCGTGCCCGTAGCGGTTCCTGTGGCCACGATGGCTTCTTTCACGGATAGCTGGATGATCAGGGACTGGCGCAGTGTATGTAAGAAAAGCTAAACAGAAACGCATGAGGGCCGCACACCTCGAGATTCGAGAAGAGTTCATTATCGACAAAGTCTGCCACCCCAAGTTCGCGAACAGTCGGATCGGCGAACGCAACCCCCAAAGCACGTCCAGCTGCGGCAGTCGTTGGCACGACTTTGATGGCCATGACCACGGGTGGCGTCGACAAGTCCGACCCGGCATCGCCAAAAAGAAGGTCTTCGACAGCCTGAAGATTTCCTGGAGAGGCCTGGATAGCAATCAGGCAAATGAGTAAAACCGGCAGACATCACCCGCACCTCCTTGTCCAGCACGAACTTGTTACACTTCTTCGCACTTTGACCAGGCTCCGGCTCCCACAGCTCCACCCGCAGCTGCTTGGAGGTCAGAGAGTCCCGTAGAAGCGTCAGCGCCACGGATGCGCGCAGGTTGAGGCTCGGGAGCCCGGATTTCCCGCCTGGCCCGAGGTATTTGACCACGGTCTGAGTGCGAAACACGGTATCTGCGACATAGCGCGCATCGGGGCCGTACACGCCGTAATAGTCTCCGTTGGCGCTGATGCGGTGGAACAGACGCAGCGTTCCGGACGCTGGCGACTTTGCCGGGAGTTTGTTGAAGAAAGTGATGAAGCCAGGATCTGTGGTGTGTTCTGCATGGAGAGTTTAAGACTACAGGCACCGAGAAGAGTGGCGCAGAATACAAACCTGTCGAGTCTTCTTCGAGATCGCGTTCTTTTCCGTATTGTTGCATGCTGTGAGGAGAAACAAATTTGTCACCGTCGCGTCATGTCACATCGTGACATAGACGCGTCGTCTGCTTTCGTCAGTTTCAGTTCACAACCACTTACCGAAACAGGTTATAAGCATGCAGTCTGCCAGACTCGAACGCATTTCGGTTGATCCAAGCCTGGAGCATGCTTACATATTCGACAGTCACGCAGACTCAGGGCGAACCCTTCACGCGAGGAGCACACTCCCTAATCTAACGAACCCGACTTGGTAAAGTCCAGCTCGGTTCATCTTTCCACCATTCGAGCCACGAAGGAATGAACATCCAACAGAGACCTCTTTTCGCGACCATTCACGCACACTGATGCAGACACCCTGATCTCACACCCCGAAGGCACAATGTTAAGGCATAAGAAGCACATGATGACATAGCATATCACGATGCATAAATCCTACAGCTACTAAAACCACCGCTCAAGGAGCAAGGAGAGACTCGGTGAACGCAGCGCCGGCAGCGGTCGGCTGCTTCGGCTTCTTCGCGTTCTTCTTTTTGAGGCGCTCCTGCTTGACTGAACACACACAACCACATCAGCTCACGTTGTAGCACATTGTGGAGGGGAAGAACTCACGGAGCTCATGTCGGCGGATCGTCTTGGCGTACGGGTTGAGGCGGAAGAGGACGGCCTTGTTGACGAGGGGGTTCTTCTTCTGCGTCCAGGGACGCTTCTGCACCTTTTGGCCAGCAGGGCGGACAACGGACTGAATCTCATCGCTGTTGATCAGACGCGTCACATCGGGGTTGGTGATCTTCGAGGCGGGCAGGCTATGGGCATCTCCCATCAGCATATGGAAGCACATGCCACACTGAGCATACTCACACGTAATCCTTCTTGAACGACGACACCTTGTCGAAGGTACCGAACACCTCATCAAGCAAAGCGAAGGCACCCTCCGTCCAGATGACGAAACGACCGAGGTGGCCACCAGGAGCCAACTGGAGCAGGTTCAATCGGCGCACGTTGACGACCTCAACACCGGGCAGGTTGCGGAACGCCTTGACGATACCCTGGTCCTCGTTGTACACAACAAGCGGGCCGCGGCGCTGGCGGTGACGGCGGTTCCGCATCTTTCCCTTTCCAGCACGGAGTTTGCGCGAGTTGGACACCTTGACGACATCCGAGTACGCCTTGAGGCTCTTGAGGAGGGCAACAGCCTCTTTGGTCTTGGTGAAAGACTCGGCGGCAGAAGCAACAACGAGAGGAACCTCCTCGATTTGCTCGATGCGGTGACCACGGGCGAGGACAAGGGAAGGCAGAGCCGAAGCAGCGAGAGCCGAGACAGTCGCGTACCGGCGCTGGTTCTGGTTCACCTTGACGTGCCACTTGCGCCAGGTCTTGGTAGGGGCGAACATACGACCACCACGGCACATGTTTCCGAATGCGGCCTAGATAAGAGTGAATCTCTGCTCCTGCGGGATGCAGAATCGAACACACCTGGCCAGCACGGTGGGTTCCGGATCCACCGACACGGGGGATACGAGCGACGGCACGACCGGTACCCCAAGACTCGGCACTGGTTTGGTGGCCGGCCTTCTCGCTAACGGAGTACGCCTGGCGCTTGTTCTTGGCGACGCTCTCTGCAAGTTCAATCAGAGCCTGTCTCCTTCTCTGAAAGACAAATGCAGAACGCACTGTGGACCTGCGCAACGACATCCAGACGGATCGGGGCGGTCAGAACGGCGGGGAGCGGGAGGGAGGTGGACGCCTCTGAAAATCGCAATTTCGGGATCAGGACAATCCGCAAAGACCGAGGGATATGGCAGACAGACCTCCGGAGGCGCCGAAGACGTTGACGGTGGGGCGAGAGGCCATTCTTGCGGCTCAAAGTCTTGCTGTTAGAAGATGAGAAAATTTGTTGCCGCGTATTTACAGCCTGTATAGCTCTGATGGGTTTCGTGATCCAGCATCACGTCATGAAGTGGCAATGCGATAATCAGAATCTGCCTGTGACATGTCGCTGGCACCGAGTGACATGCAATCAGAACTTGCACTACGTTGAAACCTCTCTTGGGATGTCATCTTCTGAAACTACTTTTCCTATCCCTTTCTCGATTTACCGTTTCATGGGATCGCATTCTAGCACGAGAACTCTTCGGCTGTGTCCTCTCACTCAAGATCGCCGTGCTGCACAGCAAATCTCACGCACTCGATATGTATAGGTTGTAGCCGATGGGAACCATCACCTCAGGGGACAGTTGACGCTGGGAACTGTGACTCTGCCTTCGATACTGGCCGCCTTACCCATGTATATCTTGTGCGGCCGCTGTTCTGCCTACACCAATCCCTGATCCGGTTCCTGCCCACGACCGGCCGTAACCGCCACATTTCGTCTGCTGCGACACGTAGCACATGCCTAGATTGATAGACCCGCGGAGTACCTGCGCCGATATCTTTCTTTAAGAGCACCGGTGTGATATGCCTGCCTTGTCATCTGAGCACATCTACATATACTGGCTGTCTGTCAGAGGCTTGCTGTCGACGCTCCCCTCCGCTCTCGGATACTCTGTCCCGGTCTTGCAACTATCAAGATGGCCTCTGCTGAGCAAGAAATCCAGTTTAACACGGGGAATACGCTTGGCGCGCTGCAAATCGGCACCCTAATATCGTTCACGCTGTTTGGCGTGACAACAAGCCAGGTATACACCTACTACAGCCGGTTTCCTGAGGATGCATGGCATCTAAAAGCCCTGGTGAGTACGGTCAAGGTACCTTGCCCCTTCGTTTGGTGACCTCAGCCTTCAGGTCGCTTTCACGTGGTGGGTTTCTCTGTCTCATCGACTCAAAGACTGTTGCGATGAAGTTTGGGCAGGATGTGCGATCTCGCCCACGCGATCTGCGTCGCAACTCTTCTGTACACGGATGACATTCTGGACTACCGACACCCGGAACGCTTCTTGCTGGCCCCGTCAAAGCTATTCGGCGTGATCATCCTCTTCTCTGCCCTCATTACGGCCGCTGGTCAGTAGACAATCTCCGCAGCCTTGAAGCATCGAATGATTAAGTGGGACCCAGTTCAATCATTCTTCTCCTTCCGGATCTACCGCATCTCCAAAAGATCGGCTTTCCCGCTCTTCACTGCCAGCCTAACTTTCTTGAGGACATTGGCTGCGATTGGGCTGCTCTACGCCATCAACCATGTGGATTCCTGGGCGCAGTTCTTGGCACGCTGGGACTGGCTCGGGACGTCTCTATTCTGCATCAGCGCTGCTAATGACGTTATCATCACCATGGGCATGGTGTTCCTGCTCTTTCGGCGCCGGAGGAAAGCCCTCAATCGGTACGAGGCGTGATCAAGTATTTCAAATAAAACCATAACGACCACAGGACCATGGCGCATCTCGATAGAATCATCACGTGGACTATTGGTACGCCTCCCAGGCAACCATTCTCTATTCGCGCAGTCGGCTGATGAAGGGCATTTATAGAAACCGGGCTGATGACAAGGTTGGCTGCGGGTATCTTATCTTCGTACCTAGCGGTGTTCTCAAGCAAATTATGACAGTGTATTCACCCTGCTTGAACTGGCATTCGTAAGTTACGCTTCCCTGTGTTCTCGGAGCATCTAAATTCTCTTGAACCTATTTGTGCAGTTCCTGACCATGCAGTCCAATTGTGGGGTCCATCCTCATACGCTGCGTCTATCGTCACTCACATCCCCATCCATCAGACATTTGGATCGGTCTGTTAGTTATCGGAGCGCGCTGTGAGTACACTCCCCGCAATCAGAACATCAACTCACGTTTGACGACCCCCGATCATCAGTATTCTCTATCTCTCTGCTCGCAAGGTCAGTCATTCTCATCTTCATCATCCCCGATCTTACGTTTCCGTCAGTCTGAACTCGCGCTCGACCCTACGAAAGATGAATGAAGTCAACCTGACTGCGTGGAACTCATTCGCGGTGCAAGGAGTACGAGATCAGACTTGTTCTCTTCTGGTCTTTCCTCCTGACCCTTTCTCAGGGAAGCCAAGAACGGAACCCAGTCGAGGAGCACACCGTTGATCTGAACAGCCACGTTCTAGTAGAGCGCACAACCAAGGTTATGGTGGATCCATAGGGCGAATATACATATACATAAGTATGGACATATATGAGATTATTTACTGTAAATGTGCATACATCATCACATCACCTCCACGCAGGGCGCCCAGTGCCCTTCCCCCTCAGATCAACAACACTCCGCGCTCTCTTCAGCGGCTCCTTCTGCTGCTGCATCGACTCGAATCCCTTCACCAGATCCTTCACACTCCCCCCGCTGCTAGTTCTTGGCCGCACAGAAACAGGCTTCTCAGCAGGCAGCTCCACGTGATTCAGCTCGACCATCCGCTGCGGTTTGGGCCGGGGCACAGCCGCTGGCGCAGGCTTCGGTGCAGCATGCAGGTGCACCAGATCTTTCGGGGGTCGCGCTTTGACCGGCGCCGGCCGAGCAGGTGTCGTGATCGGTCCGCGGGGTTTGACCTGCTTCGGAGGTAGCGGCAAGCGTGGCCGGCCAGTCGGTACCATGCTTGGTTTCGCGGCGGGTTTGGCGCTGCTAGACAGATACGAGAACAGAAAGCCCTTGACGCGTTTCCCGATCGACGCTGGCGGTGCGGGCGGCTCTACTCTCAACGGTGTGGCTGGAGGCATCTCCGCGTCACGCGATGGTTCTTCCTCGTCTTCCTCTCCTTCGCCTCCCTTCTCCTCCTCCTCATTCCCTTCTTCCTCGCCCTCATCTGGCTCATCGCGAGCAACGACTCTCGCCTCTTCCAGCAAATGAGAATACCTCGGGGCCAGCAGTGACCCCGGCAATCGCCGGTTCCTCGCTGGTTCTGGAGTCGGCGGCAATGGCCCACTAAACGGCGCACTCGACCCACCGACAGGCGCGGGAAATCGTGCTCGCCCGGATGTCGGGAACGGCACGAGCGGCTCGACATGGCTCTTCCTCGGCGGCATCGCCCTCCTCCCTGGTGGTGTAAAGTCAGGCACG